AATTGGTGTGTGTGGTACTGAGGATTGAATCCAGGACTTTTACCCTGAGCTACATTCCCCACCCATCCCCCGACCCCACTCCCTTTTTGAGACAGGGTCCTGCTAAATCATTAAATTGCCCAGGCTGGGCTTGAACTTGCAGTCTTCCAGCCTCCCAGACTGCTGGGATTAAAGACGTGCACTGACAAGGCCAGCAGTTTGTTGTTTTTGTTTTTGTGGTGCACTTATCACTGAGCTGTACCCCAGTCCAAAGACCTTCAATTTTTTTAATATGTCTTTGTCACCAGAAGCCAAGAGGTTACTGCAGTGGGGCCCCAGGCTTCACATATTCATGACTAGTAACCTTCTAGTAGAAAAGGTGTTTGATGCTATTAGCTTATAGGGCCGAAGGTTCAGGGGAGCTTGGTTAAAGGTGTGTGCTTGGCCGGACAGGAGGAGGGAGGTGTGGTCTGTACCCCTCCCGTGAAAATCTGGCATGTCCTGGTAGAGGTGGGATGAATTTGCCCTCAGCTCAGCCCAGCCCGGCAGTCTTCAAGCACAGAGTAGACACCAACTTCCCAAGGCAGCTTGGTTGTACCTCATTCCAAACCAATCAGTTCCCTTGACTCAGGATTTTCACCAGTCCTCCATTCCTACCTGACACCGTCTTGGGCCAGTGTGCAAAAATTCTCCAGGCACAGAGCAAGAAGGCAATTTGAAATACTGAGAGCCGCCCGAGTGTCCATTATTTTCTGTTTAATTACTACAAAAACATATAATGTGTTTCTTTGGTTTTGTTCACCACTAATATTGTACAGGTTAAGCACAGCTAACCTAAAATCCAGAGCCCAAAATATGCCCAAACCCAAAACTCTGAGCCCTGACATGATGCTGTGAGTGGGAAATTTCACACTATTAAACCTATCTTAAATGCACAAGACCATTAAAAATATTGTATACAGTCACCTTCCAGCTATGTGTATACAGTATTTTTTAAACATAAATAAATTTCATGTTTAGATCTGGGTCCCATCCTCAAGATCTCTTTATGTAAACATGAAACTTCCAAAGTCTGAAATCCAAAGCACTGCTGGTCCCTTTCAACCAAGAGATATGCAACCTGTATTCACTCAACCCAGAATAGTCTTTAATAGTAGGAGCCAGGGATCACAAGGATTTCTTTTCATTGTACAGAATGTACACAGAAGCTCTGCAGGCAGCCACAGTGGAAATGCTGCATCCATCTCGACCCCATCAGTGACGGCACTGATCCCTCACAGCCAAGGATGCCCGCACTTTGCTAATGCTCTCTCAGTGGGTTGAGCACATGATGACTGACTGGGGGTTGGAGAAAATCCTGACTTGCAGCATCTGCCACGGCCCTGAAGCTCATGGCTTCAGGGGTTTCAGTCCACGGTCAACTGGCTCCAAGGCAGAAACACTGCAGAAAAGCATGGTGGAGCAAAGTTACTCATCTATTTCATGGTGGCCCAGACGTGGAACACAGGAGAAGAGTGCCTGTGTGAGATTTATCCTCCAAAAGCAGCCCCCAGGGCCCCTCTGCTTAACAATACAGTCAGGTGCGAATACAAGTAGATTAATCCACTCTTCTGGTCCAGGAATCTTTGAATCCAGTTAAAGTTCAAGACGAAATGGTGTAAAGCCCTGCACGAGATTCTGATGGATACCAGAGAAAAGTTAGGCCCCCCCGACTACAAGTTCTCTACCCTGGCTGCATATAACAATCAGGAGGTCACTTCAGGAATTCTGCTGGAACCCCAGACACTGGTATTTAGTCAGAGCTCGTACATGTTGCAGATGTTGAGCTAGGACTGAGAAACAGAATGTGACCGGAATCCCTTTAAAGAAATACGATTGTAAGATCCCTAGAGGAGCCTAGAATTCCCTTCAACTTTGAAGCATCACGCTGGCTGTGAGTCAGACTCAAAACTTAACCTATTTTAAAGACAGTCTCTCTGGCCTACAGCTAGCAGACAGACACTGGAGGTACGAGTAGGCAGAGAAAGGTCTGCTTCTGGGAGGAATTCGCAGACCTTGGCTTTGCTCTGCTTTTCCTCAGCTGTGCCTGCCTGCAGAAGTCCCACTCTTAACCATGCTCATGCCTTGACCACATCTTTACCTTGCCCCTATGCTTTGACCTTGCCTAGGAAAAGACCCTCATCACCTCTTTCGGAACAACACACAGAAGTCTTGAGGGAGGAAAGGAGACAGGCCTGAAATAGTATTACTCTTTCCAAACACAGAGATAGTGTCTAGAGCCGATGCACTGCAGGTAGAGGTGGGATGTGGAGCCGCTCAGTGGAATCACTGGGGAACTTGGGACAGACCCCCTGCCCAAGCCTCACTCCACTCAACAAGGTCAGAGTCGGGAGGGGCAACCACACTGGGAAAGGTGTTACAGGTGATTGTATATCCATATTCCCTGAAGAAACCCCTGCACACATACTGGGAGATGGGAATTGGGGTGCCCATTACAGCAGAAAACAGGAAACAACCTAAATGTCCAACAGACCACAGGGTAAATAAATCGTGGTCCTCCTGAAAGTGAGTGATTATGTAGCAGTGAAGAGGAACAAACCGCAGTTTGCTCCCCAAGTTAAATTAGCTTAATAGCATTAAAGGAAACATGCATGACGCAGAATAATACAAAGAGTGTGGTTGCATTTGCAGCAGATTGAGGGCTGCGTACAAAAGTAAAGTGAACTCTATAGGAAGCGAGAGAGATTACAGCAAGGGTGAGAGTCGTGGTTTCATGGGTTGTGGGGAGCAATTTTAAAAGCAGTGGCAGTGTTCTGTTTCGGAGGTGGTGATTACACAAGTATTCACCTTGTGTGCTTTACACTCACTGTTGTATAGTTCACCCACACAAACAAAAAGAAAGAAACACAGACACCAGTATACTGCTTGAAATTACCAAGTCGACCCATAAAGGAATGGAAAAGATCACTTTGGGTGTTCAGGGAGGAAAGGGATGAGAGGTAAGTGAGGTAATCCTTGTTTATCACAGCGAGGCTCAGTAATACCTAAAATCTCGCCTGCTGTGAAAGCCTATCGGGGATGCAGAATAGCTGCCTAAGAGACGCCAGTCCAAAGTCATCACCTCTGGGATACACAGGGGTAGGGGCTCAGGATGCTCACCGCCGCCCTTTACCTTACCTTGGTATCTTTGGAATCACAGGACTATGTGCAAAGGCTACTTTGGCAGAAATTAAGAAATAGCTTGCCATCCAGCGCTTTGGGAGACTGTTTCGGTTTCCGTCTAGATGCGCCCCACAGCCTCGTGCGGTCACAGACAGGGCTTTTCCAGAGGTGACTGAATCTAGAGTGTGTGACGCTGGGATTAAGGGTGGGTGATGGCTAAATCGGTACACTGATTGGCTTGGCACCGCCCTAGTAGCAGGAGCCTAGAGTACAAAAGGGGCAGAAAGGAGCTGCTCAGGTCCTTTGCCTGCCACAAACTACTTCTCCTCTGTGATGCCCGTCTGCCGTGCCTCCCTGCCTTGGAGCCAGCTGATGATGGACTGAACTCTCTACAAACTGGAAGCCAAATAAACTTTCCTCCTTTAACTTTGGGTGTCAGGAATTTTGTCTCAGCAACAAGAGAAAAGTAACTAAGTCAGAGGATAAGACGTTCAGTCCAAGGCCAACTTGGGCAACTCAGTGAGACAAGAAAAAAGAAAAGAAAAGTTGTTTTGGAGGGGTCCTCCTAGCCTGACCAGAACACAAGGGAGCAGGCTGGGTGTAGCGTGGTAGTGGAGCACTGAGTTCCACTCTCTGTGGAGAGGGAAGTGCACGAAAGGGTGACAAGCAGCGGGGAAGATGAACGGCTACCGAAAGAACCTGGTTTCTACCTTAGTTTAGAGATAGCACCACAGTTGGCTCCCAACTCCAACAAGATGCCTCGGTGCCCCTGTGCTGTTCTTGTCCCCTTGGCAGGTTGGTGCCCAGCCAGTTCCGGAAGTGCCAGGAAAGTGGAAAATCCCCGAGAGATGTGCCAGCCCTTCAGCTCCAGTTAAAGGCAAAGTGACAAGAAAGGCCTTGCATACCAACGAGCCTTCTGTACCTCTCAGGCGGCAGGCAGCACAGGATGGACAGAGAAGATGCTTCAGGCTCAAACGAGGGAATCAGGGGACAACAGGGTCACGAGGCCTCTCACAGTGTTGCCAGACAGCACCTTGCGACCGAGGACCACCTAAGGCAAGAATACAGATTCCTGGGCCCCACCCCAGCTCTAAGAATCAACCCCAGGAGGGGGACCCAGGAATCGGCATCCTCAACGCCTTGCTTCATGTGGCCCTCTTGACCTGGCGAGTTTGGGGAACAGCGGGGTGTCACTCCGCTTGTTAACTGTGGGGCCAGCTTCGAGGATGGCACCTACCCACAAAAGCACTGGGCCAAGCAAGCAGAGACTGGCTGATACATTTAAGTCAGCAACATGTGCAAGAAACCAAAATGTTAACTTTTTTACCCAGTTAGCCTACACTTCCTGGGGTTCCAGATAGATAATAAAGGCAAACCCGTCTACAGTATTTATGAGGCTCTTGACACATATTAAGTCAGAGTGCAGTAAGCGCTGTTCTCTTCCCCAGTTGTACACGCAGGGAGACTGAGGTGCA